CATAAAAAAGTTCCCTTCGAACCACGCAAAAATAAGTTGCAGGTGCCGTCAGCATTTAAATGACGTTTCACAAATTTCAAAAGTTGTTTAAATTGTAATTTGTGTTGCTGAATGCAATAAAGGACAAATAATTTTATTACTTGATTCCTAGGCAATTCTTTGGTCAAATTACTTTTGCGTTGATCGGGAAAACGAAGACGCCGATGGGGGTCGTCTGTAACTTTTTATCTTGTTCACTATCAGAGATTCCTCCGACGATTTCGGAATAGTCGTGATCAAAAACATTTATCCTTTGATAATAATTGCAATGCCTTAACTGATCAATGATAGAAAACAGACGTTATAGTATCAAATAGCAAAAATAAGATCATATTCAATTAGTCCACGCTCATTTGAGTTTTCATTAAATTCTCTTTAGGCCCTACGAGCATTTAATAACATAGCATGAGTCACTTTCCTTAGTTTGTAAGTCATATGAGCTGATGAGCGGAAGAATACGTCATGCGGTATTCTGTTACCAAGTATCGCCACAATTGGAAGCAAATCTCTCCTTTTGTGTGCACAGCCGAGTAAGCAGGAGAGACACGTATTGAGCACCGTAATCATTCCCTTATATACTTAACCCTCAAATACTTATGGAGAATACAACTGCAACAGAAAGAGTGCAACTCAATGATTAACCGCTTCTTGCGGACAATGGCCTGCTAAATCCCCACAGCGTCCACTGAAAGGAATAGAGTGACCATCTTTTCATATACACACAATAATGATCAACCAAGACATAGAAGTTCAGGTTTTTTTCAGAAATTATATGTAATTACAGAGACCGAATTCTTGGCTGTAGGATGAGTGGGGTAACTTGCTTTTGCTCTCCGATTTGTTATTTTGGATGGCTTTGCATTTTTTGTTCTTACTTCTGCAACACTTTCCCTTCTGGAACTCCAGGACTGAAAGTATTTATTTTATTCTTAACTTTCCTTGGGGAAAGAGGAAGCTTAACTGAAGCTAGGTATTATGCTTAGGACTTGATAAATGAAAATTAGACAATTTGATCATTTACATTTGGGCTTCAAATGAATTTATCTACGCTGAATATGAATATCTTATAGTCCTACAACTTTCAGATATTGAGTATACTTTCAATATGTAGTAAGTCACAAGTAACTCAATTAGTGAGTTATTTATTTTACAAGATAAAACGATAACACCCTCTATATATGACGGTATTATGCGCACATGTTTAATTTTGATGGCACTGGTAACTTATATCGTGCATTTCATTAAAATTTAAAGGCCAGCTAAGTGAAAGGAAATGATCCCCGAGAAGAGAATATTTTACGCAGTTTATAAGAATGCTAAAAGTAAGCATTCTGACATTTTGCCAGCGTCTAAAAGTTTAAACGGACGAGTTATGTCTATTAACAATTTTCCGCCGGGCTGAAATAGCCACAATGTCAACAAAACCCTAAATAAAATGCGAATTTAGTACAACTTCGTGAAATAAATGGAATGAAAACATCAAATGCATCAGTTCGATCGCTAAAGTACCAAGCACCGGCTTCAGACGTATTTCACCTATCAGTTTACTCTCGATGATGGCGCTGGCCTTGAAGGATTTCCTAAGCCACTGGTCCTGAACTTAATAAGAGACTAAAGAAATTGAGCTAAAATTGAATAGGTGAGGTCCACATCAATGTCAAAAATAACTTTATATGAACGTTAGTGCATCGAACTCAGAAGTGTATCTATAGGGAAGATTTAATCATCTTACCAAGCAGTTTCACGCCTAGATTTTTCGCAAGGATGTACAATCCTCTTTCTCAATTCATTGCCACGTTGTATGGGTTTTTACTTTATAGTAATACATCCATGACACTGTCATAGGACTCGCGTCATTGAAAATTCAGAATGTCAAAAGTATATA